GTTGTGTCTATAAACAGCCAATTGCTCCAGTACTTTGTGTTGAAAAGACGGTTTTCTGGGCTGGCCCCATAGCCTAGTGGTTAATGGAGCTGGATCCCACATGGTCAACCATGGTTCAAATCCCAGCCCCAGAAGCTTAAAACACATGCAGGGCACATGAGCGTGTGTGCTACAAATCCCGACAGGATGGAGAAATGAAGGAAAAAGGATTGCGGTGTGGTGTGGTCACACCGCATTGAGGGGATGCTTTTTCTATCTTTCTTTATCTCTCTTTCTGGCCAGTGCACACACCTTCTGGGCATTTTTTGGTTAAAGAATAGACTATTTTTCTTCTATTAAGTTTCTTTGCATTTTTATCAAAAAGAAGTTGGCTGTTTCTAGGTTCTTTTTCTGTTCCATTGACTTATGTGTCTCTCTTCACTAAGACCATACAGTTTTGATTACTATGGCTCCAGGTGTCCTTTGGTTTGTGGCTGCATAACTCCAGTTGCTGCTTCCATATTTATATGGTCTTTTCCTTTGTATCTGTGTCTTCACTACTTCTTTCTCTTTTTAAGATTTTATTTTACACTTTTAAAATTTACATTTAATTACTGTGCCTTTTTACACGTCTCTCTTCACTAAGACCATACAGTTTTGATTACTATGGCTCCAGGTGTCCTTTGGTTTGTGGCTGCATAACTCCAGTTGCTGCTTCCATATTTATATGGTCTTTTCCTTTGTATCTGTGTCTTCACTACTTCTTTCTCTTTTTAAGATTTTATTTTACACTTTTAAAATTTACATTTAATTACTGTGCCTTTTTACACTGTACAAAATGTTTTTTTCCAGCATGGATGCAGTATACACCAGTCAAGTCAAAGGTACTATCAGATAACTTTTCATTTATGTGTCTGCTAAATTTTTTCCAACCCCCCCCAAACCCACCCCATTACTTCCCCAGCTTAATACACCCCCTCTTATACTGTCTCTGGTATACAATTACCCTCCCTACTATTGTACCTACCCATCTTTCAGTTTCTGCCATAGTTCTCTCTTTGGTACTCTGGATTGTTTCCTGTTGCATTAATTCTTCCCCATTCATCCACTTTGTATCAAATGTCAATGTCTCATTGTTTTTTATGGCTGTGTAGTATTTCCTAGCATATACATGCCTAATTTTTTTCAATCCAGTCATCTGTTCTTGGGCATTTGATTTGATTCCATGTTTTAACAATTGTGAATAATTTTGCTTTAAACATGGATGTGTATGGACTGCTTTTCTAACCTTTGAGTAAATACCTAAGAGTGAAATTACTGGGTTATATGGTAGTTTTATATGTAGCTATTTGAGGAACCTTCATATTGTTCTCCATAGTGGCTGTACTAATTTACATTCCTACCAACAGTATAGGAAGGTTCCCTTTTCACCACAGCCTCACCAGCACTTATCATTCTATATCTTTTTAAATCTTAGTCATTTTGATTGGGGTTAAGTGGTTTTGATTGCATTTCCCTTATGATAATTAATGTTGAGCATTTCTTCATATGCTTTTTGGCTGTTTGTATAAATTCCTTTGAGACTTATTTGTTCAGCTCATTAGCCCATCTTTAAATTGGATTGTTTATTTTTTTGCGATTAATCTGCTTGAGTTCCCCATATATTCTGGCTATTAGTGCCTTATCTGAGGTATAGTTTACAAATATATTTTCCCATTCTGAAGATTGTCTCTTCAGTCTAATTATTCTTTTGCTCACAGAAGCTTTTTAGCCTGATGTAGTACCACTTGTTGATGTTTGTAATTATTGTCTATTGTGATATGGGGTCTTATTTAAGAAGTATTTGCCTACTCCAATGTCTTCAACAGTTTCCTCTCTGTTTTCCACCAGTAGTTTTATAGTTTGAAGTTTTACATTTTTTAAAGAATTTTCAACTTTATTTATTTATTTTAATTTGACCACAGAGGGACAGAGTGAGAGAGAGTAAGAGAGAGGGAAAGTGAGAAAGCAAGCTGCCAGGTCCAGGACTCAAACCACAGTCAGCCATGTGGGAGTACAGCACCCTTAAACACCACACCACCTGCCAACCCCAAAGCTTTACATTTAAAAATTGGATCCATTTTGAGTTGATTTTTGTTAATGGTGAGAAATAGGGGTCTAGTATAATTTTCTGCAGGTGGATACCCAGTTCTTCCAGCACCATTTGCTGAAGAGATTTTCTTTTGCCAACTGGATTGATTTGGACCCTTTGTCAAAAATCAGTGGGCCTGGGAACCAGCAGTTAGTGTAATGGCTATGTCGCTGGACTCCCACGTAGTCGACCGCGGTTCATGCCCCGGACCCGGTGGCTTAAAACTCACGCCGGGCGCGTGTGCGTGCGTGCCCAGAATCCCGAGAGGAGAATGGAGGAGAAGGGATTGCGGCGTGACCATCCCCCCTGGGGGGTGATTTCTCGCTTTCTGTCTCTATGTCTCTCTCTGTCTGTCTGGCGAGCGCACGTGCCCTACAGTGAAAATCTCTCCAAAAAAAAAAAAAAAATCAGTGGACCTAATGTTTTTGGGTTTATTTCTAGGTTTCGATTCTATTCCATTGGTCTACATGCCTGACTTTGTGCCAGTATCAGGCTGTTTTGATTATCAGAACTTTGTAATATATCTTGAGGTCAAGAAGTAAAATGCCTACTTTATTCTTTTTGTACAGTATTGCTTTGGAAATATGAGGCCTTTTGTGATTCAAGACAAATTTTACGATTTCTTTTTCTATTTCTATGAAGGCTAGCAATTTGATGGTAATTGCATTGAATTCATAAATTCATTTGGGTAGAACTATTATTTTTATTATAAGTAAAATTGTGCTGAATTTAGGGCTCACTCTGATAAACCAGGATAGTATTTCTTTCTTTTTTTGATAACATATTTATTTACTTTTTTTTTTTTTGGAGAGGTTTTTGCTATGTAGCATGTGCACTCGCCAGAAAGACAGAGAGAAACAGAGAGAAAGAAAGCAAGAAATCACCCCCCCAAGGGGGGATGGCCACACCACAATCCCCTCTCCTCTATTCTCCTCTCGGGATCCTGGGAACGCACGCACATGCACCTGGTGTGAGTTTAAGCCACCAGGTCCAAGACTCAACCTACAGTAGACTACGTGGGGAGTCCAGCGACATAGCCATTACACCATCTGCTGGTCCCTATTATTCTTTCACTTAATCACTGTACACTTTTACAGCATGAAAAATGAATTTTGCCACCTTGAATACAGTGCATATTGGTCCAGTCAAAGATATGATCATACACATTACTATCAGCAGGCAATTTTCCATTTTTGTGTCTGTTAAATGTTGTGCTTTATATAAACCCCTTGATTTCCTCCCTGCCTCCCCATTGTTCACCCTTATCCTACACTGTCTTTAGTTTGCTATCATCATCATCATCAAAATTATTATTTAATTTCAAGAAAAGCCATTTAGCTTTACTGAATCCAAATCCAAGAAAAAAAGTTATGAAAAATTTACTTAAGATTTTAAGCCAAGAAACAGGTTAAGGTTATGTCCAAACAGTAGGCAGATACCAAAAACTCAAAAAACAATATGGACAGAGCTAAAATCTAGTAGCAATTACATTATAGTTGTCATCTGGAACAATTTTTTTCTCTCTCCATTCCCTCATCTACAAAAGAGAAGCATAAACTATTTGCTAAAAATAAGTTTAATCTCAATTCTGTCTGTTATTTGCACAAAGCCCAATAAGAATTCTACTTGATTTAGTTGGCATTACTGGAACTTTTATAAGGAACTTCAGATTGGACTCTTTATAAAGCTTCCCAAAGTTACTAAGCCAAGTCAGGAATTCACCATCTGACTATGTCTGTACTTGGAAGTTTTGGGACCTGTCAGGAAATGACATTCTTTTACTTACCTACCAAGCAGAACTGTTTATGGTACCAGGCAATCTTTCCAAAAGCTTCTGTTGCCTTTCTTGAGATAAACCTCAGTTCCTTACCTTTCTGGTCATATCTTCAGATATGACATTCCAGTCAAAGCCTTGGCAATAACCAATGTTTTGAATTTCTGATGCAAGGCAACAGCTATTCTTGAATGTATGCAAATAACCATACTGCTACAACATAAGAGTACTCATAAAGACTTTCCAATTCTGGAGGGGTCAGGAAGGGAGAAAGGTTTATGTTTCAGTTCTGTTTTCAAAAAAATAATTTTTTTAACAAATTGTTGAAGCTATTAACAGCTCAAAAGGAAACAAAATTTCTCAAATCTGGAAAACAAAGCATAGAGAAAAAGCAATAATGTTTTAGTCAAAAGTCATAAAATTCTCTTTCACCAGTTCAGGCTCATGTAATTAATCTCTCTTCTGTTGAGTTTGCAGTGTTATTGTGATATTTCTGTCTAAATCCTGAAAGTTCATAAATATGATCTCAACATTATCAAAAACCTATATTCAAGAGTACCTATAATAGAATCTTTTTCCTTAATGTCCTTTAAAAAGGCAATTTTTGGATTTTAGCCTATTAAAAATTGTTTTAGAAAGAGCATCAGAATAAAGCAATTAACTATGGACAATGAAACTTAAAATGGCCGTGGTTCAAGCTCTGATTTTACTATAATTCAAAATTGACAAATTTGATCATTTCTGTGACAAACTTCATTAGAACTATTTAGCATTACAAATATGTCTAATAATATTCTTTTACATAACAGATATTTAAGAAACTCATACAATTTTGGAACACCCATTTATACAAATTTCTATACACAGAGAGCTAAACACCATTTCACATTTGACAATGATTATCATATAATTTCAACATGTCAGAAAGTCTAATCATTCTCTTTTTTTCCCCCACATGTGCACTTTATTGAATCCCATTGTAGACAAACACAGGAGTGTAAACTGTCATGTAAAGGGAGCAGGAGTTCAGGAGCAGCCGAGGGTGCTGGGTGTGCAGGGGAGGTCATGGCCACAGCCAGACACAGGCCAGAAGGGCTTGGCAGGGACCACGAGCAGCTACTGGAAGCCTTCAAAATATTTTTTCATCTCTGAAATCATTTGGTGGATTATCGCTGGTTTGATAATAAAACAAATGATGATGGCAGTGACCATTAGGATGCCAAGGACCAGGGTGCAGATGTTCAGACACTCGGTGGTGGAGGCATAGGCCTGGGCCCCGATCACGTCGCCCGTCATCTTCCTGTTCCTAGACTTCAATGAGTAGACGAGCGTGATGAAACCCAGGCAGCACCAGTTCATGAAGATGGTGTTGAACAGGGACCAGACCACATGGTTGGGGACCGAGGTCTCGCTGTGGATGTTGATCACGGTGGGCGCCACTGGAGCCGCAGGTGGGGGCGCCCCCAGCACACGCACCTCATGCTCTTCCCTGAGCATCTCATAGTTTGGGAGAGGGCCGGTGTTGCCGCGAGTGAAGAAGGTTTGGGAAGTGTGATTCATGGCGCACATGGCACCAGTGGCAGGGTCCAGATGTTGGGTGCGTGCTGGGATCTGCTGTCCTACAGTTGTTTCGATTTCCCTTTTTCCATTCTTTTCTTTTATAAAAAATTGTGGCAATACTCAGCACTTTTTTTTTTCTTTTTAGCAGAAGTACATGAAAAGTAAATATATTTTAAAAAAGAAAAGAAACAGATTCAACCTGAAACTTGATTTTTCTAAAAATGATTCCAAAGTATTTTCTACAACATGCAAAGAATTTAACATTAGCACAAATACATTTTTAAAATTTGGGTCACAATAACTTTTGTTGTGTATAAAAACAGCACAATTGGAGATAGAATCTTAAACATTAAGAAATCAAATTAAAACTTCCCAAGGAAAGTGAATACATAACTGGTGGTTTGCACCAAAAATATTGAAAAAAAAGTGTCTATCTAATGTCTATCTAACATGGAGTTTTCATTCATTTATGTTGCAGTTTCTTGGTTGATTTTTGTTCTCTTATGTCTGTCAGTCTCCCTTTAGTCTTCCAGGTATAGTACTTCCTTCAGTACTTCTTGAAGAGCTGGTCTGATGTTGATAAATTCTTCATGTTTTGTTTATCAGAGAATGGTTTTATCTTTTCTTCCCATTTGAAGGATAGTCTTCCTGGGTATAGTAATATTGTTTGAAATTGTTTTTCTTTTAACACTTTGAATATATCTTCCCATTCTTTCCTTAGTTGCATTGTTTCCACTGAGAGGTTTGATATTAGCCTAATGGGATAACCCCTGTAAGTAACTCGTCATTTCTCTCTTGTCATTTTTAGAATATTTTCTTTATCTGTGATTTTGGCCAATCTGGCTGTGAAGTGCCATGGAGAGGGTCTTCTTGGGTTGAATATATTGGGGTCCTTTGTATTTCTTGAGTCTGAATGTTTCTCTAGGTTTGGAAAGTTTTATTTCAGGATTTACTGGAATAGATTATCAATGCCCTTATTAGTTTTCTCACCTTCTGGGATATGAATTATTTGGATGTTTGGGCATTCAATGGGTATCTATTATTTCCTGTATATCATTCTTATTTTGGGGGTTATTTTTTCATTCTTTTTGGTGATTTTTTTTCTAGGTCAGAGGTTTTGTCTTCTATGCCCAAGAATCAATCTTCTGCATAATTTAATCTGCTTTTAATACTTTGAAGGGAGGTTTTGATCTCCTGTATTACAGTCATCATCTGTAGGTCTGTTTGATTCTTCTTTATATTATTTATCTCCTCCTTCAAGTCATGAAAGGACTTCCACATCTCCTGGAGTTCAATGTCTCCTTCCTCTTACATCTCATAGGGTTTTGTTACTATAAATATTTTTAATACCTTTTCGAGACATTTCACTAATTTCCTGATTTTTTTCATACTTGGAGACAAATTACTGTGTTCCTTTTTTGGAGATGTATCATTGGTTTTCTCCTACTAGAGGTTCTTTTCCTATTTTTGGTCATTTGGCTATATATTCACTTTTGGCTAATTTATTGGAGAAGGTTTCTACAACTGTGAGCTTGTAGAAACTCACAGCTGTGTTTCCCTTTAGTGTGATGTATTTCTGTGCCAATTTCTCTCCTCTACTGTGTTTTGCATGGTGGTACTCACAGTAGGAGTTCTGAGGTCAGATTTATGAAGATGAGTATCTCCCTTTTGCCCCTAGTTCACTGGTGGTGAAGATTTCACTGAGCCTAGCAAAATTCAGAGACTTGGCTACTATGCACCTAGACCTCTCTATACATTCACTGAGTGGAAGCTGAACAGCAAAATGAGAATGTAAGGTAGAAGAATTAGAGTATACAAAATCGAAAAAAATAAAATAAAGAGACGAAAAAACAAAAAAGACAAAAAAAAATTAAAAATGAGCAGAGCACCTCAGATGTAGCTGTCTCCCTGTAATGCCCCTGTCCTATGTCAGAGGAGGAGAGTAAAGAATTAGCCAAAGAAAGGATTTTTTTTTTAAGTGGAAGAAAAAAAAACACAAGAAAATTGAAAACAAAACTTTTTTCCTCCTACTTTTCTAACTATGGGCCAGGATAGTGAGGTTGGAAGAGGGGGCTGCAACTCGGGGCTACTCATTCCTCACGTTGGTTCCTGAAACCAGGCTAGTCTTATCTGAATATCTTCAACCTAATCACATTTATGAAGATCATTTTACTGAATAAAGTCACATTCACAGGTTTCAGAGGTTTGGATGTGTACATATCTTTGGGGGGGATCAATAATTCAACACACTACAGCATTTCTAGCTCTCTTGTATATATCTACAAAAAGAAATTGTGCTTGGAATCTTGAATTGCATTAAATCTGTGCATCAATTTGGGAGAACAGATGTCCTACTATGTTGTCTTCTAACCAATTAACACAGACTGTCTCACGGTTTATTTATATCTTCTTTGACTTCTGTGTCAGAGAAAGAGAGTGAGAGAAAGAGAGAGAGAGAGGAGAGAAAGATGAATAGGTATTTTTTGACAAGGTCTTGCCATGTCACACATCACAATTCTCCTGCCCCAGCCTCTCAGTTATCTAGGAACACAGGTATGCACTACTATACCCAGACTGTTTAGGTTGGGCCAGAAACTAAACCTGGGCCTCCCATGTGGCCTCTACCACTGCACAGCAACACCTTCCTCTGGCTGGGCCTTCTTTGTTTTCTTTCATCAGCATTTGTAGTCTTCAGTATACATGTACATGCTTTATTCTTTTTATTCCTAAGCATTAAATTTTTGAAAATTTTTATTTTAAATTGAAATATTTTACATATACATACATGCAAACATATCTATGTCTATATGTAAATATATGTACTTATTTATTTAAGACAGGGTCTTGTTATGTCACATTCTGCCTCAGCTTCTCCAGTAGCTGGGCCATAGGCCCAGATTTAATTTTGTTCACTACGTGGTCTTTTATTTTTTCCATTGTTAAGTTTTAATTACATTTAAATTTTTTTAAAGTTTTTTACATCCAATCACTGTATATCTTTATAACTTTGAAAATGAATTTTCCCAGCATGAATACACTGTATGTTAGTCTAGTCAAAGAAATTACTATACACATTCTCATAAACAGATATTTTTCTATTTTTGTGTCCCTTAAATGTTTTGCTTCTTTTTTTTCCCATTGCTCTCCTCCCTCCCCCCATACTACCACTAGTATCCACAGTTGCTTTCCATACTTTAATACCTTCCAATTTTTCAGTTTGTGCCATAGAGTGCAGACGTCCAGTAAATATTAAATGGGAATATACAATGCCTCTCTTTCATAGTCTGGCTTGCTTCATTTAGCAATAAATCTTCCTACAGAAGACCCCTTCATGGTTACTAAGAACTAGTGATTTCAGGAGACGGAATCAAGGGGGGGAAAAAAATAACAAAATATACAGGAAATAGGAAATAGAAAATTGTTTGTTGACAATAACACGTATGTTGATGTGCTTGATTGAGCCAATATACAGTGTATTCTGGATGGGAAATCTCATTTTGCTTGCTGTGATGATTGTATAGTGAATGAATGTAAATAAATAAATTTAAAGAAAAAAATAAATAAATTTTAAAAATCTTCCATAATTGTCTATTTAATATCAAATGCCAAAGTCTCATTGTTTTTTATAGCTATAAAATATCCTATAGTGTATATGTGCCACTCTTTTTCAACCCATTCAATCCATTCATCTGTTCTTGGACATTTGGTTTGGTTCCATGTCTTAGCAATTGTAAATAATACTGTAATGAACATAAATGTGCAAGTGTTTTTTCTGACTGAATGTATTCCTATTCTTTGGATAGATACTCAGGAATGAAATTGCTGGATCATATGGTAGTTCTGTTTGTAGATCTTTGAAGAACCTCCATATTGTTCTCCACAGTGGCTGGACTAATTTATATGCCCACCAACAGAGTAGGAGAGTTCCCTTTTCATCACAGCCTCATCAGCACTTGCCTTTAACTGGATTAATATACAGTGTATTTTTCTAGGAAAATTATTTTTATAAGTTATAATGATATACAGTTGAATGTATAAATAATAAATAAAATAATTTTTTTTTAAAAAATGAGCAAATGAGCTGAACTGACAGCTCTCTAAGGAAGACATACAAACAGCCACACCCCAGATTTTAAGAGGTGCCAAGGATCAAATTTAGGCCTCCCATGTAGCCTCAGCCTAATAAGTAGCAGTTTCTACCAGCATGTGCTACTGTGGCTGAGGCTTTTGTTTGTTCGTTTGTTTGTTTTTAGGTTTTTGACATAGGGTATGTGTGCTCACTGGAGAGAAACAAAGACAATGAAAAGAAAATGAGAAATCACCCCTTTGGGGGGCGGTGACCACACTAAAATCCCTTCTCCTCCATTCTCCTCCTGGTATTTTGGGCACTCATGTACACACACCCAGCATGATTTTCCAGCCCCTGGCCCTGTGGTGCCATGTGTGAGTCCAGCGCTTTAACCACCATGCTACCTGCTGGTTCTGGCTAAGACTATTTTTACATATTTTAATTTACATAATTTTAATTTCTGCATTCAGAGTGTCAATAATATATAATATATATGTATGTTGAGCTTCTATTCTGTAGCCTTGCTGAAGTCACTTACAAGTGCCAGGGATTTCTTTTTGTAGATTCTTTGGATTTTCTACATTAGACCAACATTGCATCTACAAGTAAGAACAGATTTGCTTCATTCTCTTCAGTATATATAACTTCTTCACTTTCTTTATTAATTTGTCCAGATAGGGCTTCTATACCAAGTTGAATAAGAGTAGTGATGTCAGACATCCTTACTCATCCCCAACTTTAGGACCATTAAATATATTAGTTATATTATTTATAGTTTTTTTGTAGATGTTTCTTATCGGTGTTAAGCTGTTACAGATGAAATGTTTGTGCCTGCCCTCTACCCCCAATTCACAACAAAGCCCTAATTCCCAATGCAATGGTATGAGCGCTAACCCCAGTGTGAAGTGAGGTTTTTGGGAAGTAACTAGGT